ATTTTCAAATAAACCTGTTAGATTATAACCTGGTGTCGTGTGATTTTTGACCCAAACCATGATAGTGAGTGTTTGACAACAAGTCAGCGTCTGTCCGAGTGTATAGAGCATTGGCATTGCCACACTGCTGTACCGCAGTGGATTTCTGGAATGTTATTGACACACATAAGAGCACTAGAGAAATTAAGTGAGCAATGCCTCCATTACTTTCTCTGGATTCAATGGGACCATGAAAAAAATGCTGGCGTCCTCCTTGAAGTTTGGTCCACGAGGATACAGGCAAAACTCCTGCAAACTAGACGACAGTGGACTGGACACTGTCTGGATGCCTGAAAAGCACATCTTTCACCAGGGTCTTGTCTCTCAACCCTCAAATGGCTAATGTTCCAGGTGGAAAAAGGAAATGGCTGAAAAGATTCTCCAAAGTTCTCCTTGAAGCACGACAGCAATGACATTAATAAGTAGCAGGACTTACTATGAATTTTTCAAAATGCCAACTTGTCTATTAAGTTACATGAGATAACAAGGTGTAGAGCTGGATGAACACAGCAGGCCAAGCAGCATCAGAGGAGCAGGAAGGCTGACGTTTCAGGCCTAGACCCTTCTTCAGAAAATATTAAGTTATATCATGGTTTTCAGTGCAAGTGCTTTATTGATAGACAGAGGGACAGAAAAGAAAAAAAAGGAAGCAAAACCTGTATTCCTGCTATTTCTTCATGTTCTCAAAGGTCTGTGGGTCAACAATTGGTCTGTACACTCACTGCCCAATGCAGAACCCTGAGGAGATGCCACTCTCAAACTGAAAGCTGCCTCCAACTGCCACAGTATCTTGGGACATTTTCTTATATTGAAGTTACTACATAAATGCATGTAGACATTGTTTAAAATGCAGAAAACAACTTCCCATAGGTGGATCTGGCTTCTTGTGTTATACAGGGCTCTGCTTGCGGAGTAAGCGGTGGGATTTTGACAGTATTTATATACAAAACTAACCTGACTGAATCATGTAATTGCTTGACACAGAAAGACAGCATTGAGCCCATCATGCTTGTACTTAGCCTCATTGACAAAGCTCTACAAGTACCCCACCTTTGCCCATAATCCTAAAATTGTTTCAACAATTTCTTTTCCAAGCTTGCCTCTCAATTCCGCTCCCCCACGCCACCGAGTACTGCTGAAAAAAAAACATTTTGACAAAGCTTTTAATCTTTCACACATCAGGACAATTTGCAAGAATACCAATTCCGGGGTAGGGAACAGACATTTACACTGCATGAGAGGAAAGTGCTGGCTTGTTGGAAAGTGAAACAGATTGTTAAGTGTGTTGTCATGGAGAATGTACCAATTAATTATGTCTGACAGTTAACTGCCAGGCTTTGTTTAAGATTTAAACCAGAAAGTTTGACTGCAATTGGTTAGTGTTCTGCACTGAAAAATGAACCAGCAAGTGGCTGTCACTTATTTTGTTGAACTGAAACAGGTGGTGTGTGAAAATGTTCTTTTTATCTGCAAAAACACAGGGCCCTGAGCAGGTCCAGCATATGTAGCACAGAGTCCAACTGGCAACTCTAATTTGCTTTTCCTCATGTTGCCTCTGGCTTTTTTGTTGCCAAACACCTTAAATCTGTATCCCTCTGATTATGGATGCCAGCAGACACAGTCTTAATGAGATGTGATATGACTCAGCAACTAAAGAACGCTGAAGTTTTGGTGTCTGTTGTGCCATGTGTGCAGACAACCACAATTGCATCCTCTGGTCTGGGATTCTTCTCCTTGGTGTAACTGTGTAGAAAGAACATCCAGTATCCACAAAAACTGATGGTAGACAAGTTTGCAGGCAAATTGCTGGAAAGTGTACCAACTGGCAACATGAAAGGAACTTCTCTGAGAAGTATAAACTATGAATGACCCAGGCTCACTAAATTCTGAATACTACTTCACAACAGCGCCAGACTCGGGAAGTAGGAAAGAAAAGAAAAAAATCATCCTGGAAGTAGGAAAGAAAAAAAATCAAAGGAATATTGAAATAATGCCATGATTGTATACCACACCATGGACTGAAATAGTGTGGCAGTCATGGCTAGAAAACTTTTGTTTTAAAAATTAGTGTGTGTTGCTGAGTAGGATACATTTTGAACATCACAGATTAACACGACTTGCAGAGAAAGCAATTTTATTTGGAAGCTACTTTCTTTGAATAAAAATCAAAAGCATCCAGAATAACGCTTACTACAGAGAAATGGCAGGTACATTATCACAGAGATAATCGTGAGGTTTCTGCAATTCTTAATTCACCCCATTGTACTCTCTCCCACATGTGTACACAATTGAGAGTACATGCTGAATTGATATTATGAATGATGAGATAACAAGGTGTAGAGCTGGATGAACACAGCAGGCCAAGCAGCATCAGTACAAGGTGTAGAGCCTGCTGTGTTCATCCAGCTCTACACCTTGTTATCTCAGATTCTCCAGCATCTGCAGTTCCTACTATCTCTGATACAGGTGTAGTTCTATTGCTCAAGGAATGTGCTGAGGCCACACTGTGACAACAGTAAGCAGCACAAGGTGCTTCTGATTCACAGTGATGGGAGGATGTAGGGTAAATTTAGAAATGGCCTCACTGTATGACAATAAAGGGAGGCTCACTGCCACCAGGGAACTCTAACACCAGCTTGATGGTTGATGCCAGTGATTGCTCTATACAGATTCTGAGCTTCTGCTAGGAATGCAACCTAGCATTCCGTGACCACAGAATCACAGACCACACAGGAGGCCATTTGGCCCACTGTGCCTGTCTTAGCCCTTTGAAGTTTCACAACTCCTTGATCTTTCCTCACAGACAAGAAAATCCCTTCATTTGTCCGATGATTAGATTATGAGGACAGATTACACAAACTCTTTTATTCCCTGGAATGCAGAAGGTTGGAAGGTGATTTGATTAAGGTTTTAGCATTTTGAAAAAAATTCAAGATAGGTTAGAAAGAGGGAATCGTTTCTGTTGGTGAGGGAGGACAGATCAGAGCCAGACAATTCTGGAGAGAAGTTAGGAAGCACATCTTTGCACAAAGGTTGGTAGAAGTGTGGAGCTCTTTCCCTGAGAATCAGTAGGTGCTGGCTCAATGATTTTAATTTGCAATGAACTGATTTTTGCTAGACATGGAGCCAAGACAGGTTAGGAGACAAATCAACCACAATCTCATTGAATGACAGAACAGGCTTGCTGAACTGAATAGTCTCCCCTTGTCCTTATGAAGTTGTCCAGTGACAGACACAGTCTCAAGTGCACAAGCTGCGCTGTGTCTAGCATTGAGGTGCCAGGCTGAGAGGCTGCAATATGTTACAGACAGGGAGGTATATATGAAGAATGTTACTTGGGGAGGGGCACTTGCAGTTAATTAACCCTAATCTGAAGGTAGCTTCCTTTCTGACCCCATGTTTCGGGTTGAGGGAACCATTAAAAGATAAATCGAGGCAATAAAATTTACACTGTGTTAAAGATCACTCAAAAATGCATAGGATAATAAGCTTTTGATTCTTTTAAAACTACAAACAGCTCCCAGAATGACAGATTAGTCCTGTGTTTCTTTGCCTGATTATCTTACAAAAGACTCTTCTGCATTTATGTGCTGACTGTTAGAAATCTGAATTCTGGTTGAAATTTTACAGCTTACCACAGGAAGGACTAATGGCTCCCTGGGCAAACAGGCAATGCTCTACAGTTCAGTCTGATGAAGAGGGAACAGGATGGAAAATTGTTTCCTGCTTTGCTGCCTGTCAACATCTCTCTACAAAGGTTCATATGAATTTACATACGAGCTGAACTCCTCTCCTGAAACCACAACCATAGGCACCCCAATAATAATCATATGCTGCCTGGTTTATAACTGTATGGCTTCAAGTTAACACAGCAATTTATGAACTGATAGATTCATAAAACAGTGGAAGTGGAGTTGTTTTCAGCCTTTGTGCGAGTTACATGAGCAGGATGTGCTCGATTTAAGCTTCTGCCAGCAATGGTGACCCAGCCTGTTTCAATCAGGGGTTTTGAGTGAATACTGTTAGCAAGCTCCAGCGACCAGCATCTTTTGAGGGCAGAAGGCTGGGAGGCTGCTCGTGACCCATGAAGCTAGGAGTCACCATTTTTGGTTTTGGCCGATGGGTACAGTTCATGGGGCAGTACAAAAAGTTAACCAAAACACCAATAAAAATGCAGAACAATTAGGCTCCTTCAGGGAGGCTTTGCTGTGCGCACTGGCACCAGTTATTCCTCTCAGATCACACTCAGCACACTGCACACTCGGACTTACAGAACAGGAAGTACCTAAGTTTAAAAAAAAAGATTTCTGCAGTTCAAGCTGTTGATTTGTTGCTAAATCAGCTTCCAAATCAATTGTCTTTATTTTTCTGATTTAAACTGGCCAATATTAAACCCGCATCATTCAGGTGAGAAGTAAATAATGATTCTAATCGCCGTAAACTTCCGATAAAGATACAAGACACTATCAGGACTTTGCATTGAAATGGCACTGCCAACTACGGCAACTGAGAATGGACAATGAATGTTGGACTTGTCACCTTAAGCTAAATGATTTTTTTTTGAAAAAAAAAAGAGGTGCCCACAGATTCTGCGGAATCAAGCTGTAGGTAAAGTTTCAAACAATAGCAGCAATGACAACATACTGAAGATGAACCTACTGCGGCTTCTGACAGAACCTTACAACTTCTCCCCGTCTAGTGATTGTAAGGACATTCATTAATGTCAGGCACCATTAAAAGTTCCCATCAAACGCTCCCAGCGCAGGGACAGCACGGGGTTAGATACAGAATAAAACTTCCTCTACAATGTTCCCCATCAATCACTCCCAGGACAGGGACAGCACGGGGTTAGATACAGAATAAAACTTCCTCTACAATGTTCCCCATCAAACACTCCCAGGACAGGGACAGCACGAGGTTAGATACAGAATAAAGCTT